GGGATATGACACCAAACGCAGAAGCAACAACAAAAAAATATTAGATTCCTTAGATTACGTCTAAATGAAAAACACTTTTGTGCATCAAAAAGCTAAACTGAGTGAAAAGATAACCCAAGGATTAGGAAAAATATTTGCAAATCATGTATCTGAAAAGAGGCTAATATCCATAATAGATTAAGAACAGCTAGAACTAAACAACAAGAAACCCAAGGCATCCCATTAACAATGGTCAGAAGACTTGAGTAGACATATCCCTAAAGAAGATACACCAATGGCCAGTAAGCCAGGAAGAGTGACATTTTTAACTTTAAAAAAATGAATTTCAACGTATTTTCATTTTTCTAACAATTGTACATTGAGTGAGATGGCAGAACCAAATCCTTACAGTAGCTGGAGAGTAAGTTCCCCAGGGTTTTCACATACCTTGCACATACTATCTCATGTGAGCTTCAGTAGTGCTGATCAAATAAAGACAGAGAGACTATCTGTTTTGCAGGTGAGAAACAGGGTCTGGAGGGGTTGGTGAATCCCAACACCGTGGTCACTGGTGGGTCTAGTCCTGGAATTGGGGCCTGTGGCCACCAGGCTGTGGGAGCTTTTCCAGAAAGCAGGCTCCCACACAGGGCCTGGGACTTAGGGAGGGACTATCCAGGGAGGAGGCAGGCCTGGTGGGAAGGCTGCCAGGAGAATTCTCAGGCCTTTAAAGCCTCTTTCTATTTCCCTGGTCTCTGCAGCTGAAGTTGCATCAGGAAGAGGTGGCTTCCAACCGCTTCAGGCAACTTCTTAGATGAGCCCCCTGAAAGAGTCCCTAAATTTTTACCACCTGCCCCTTCGAAGGATGTTGCAAGGAACAGTACACCCTTTTAGAATTGAGTCATCTGAGACCTTCAACTTTTGTCTGCTTCCAGATTATTTTGGCTCTTCAGAGTTCCCTGAGATTCTATATAAATTACAGGATGGATTTTTCTGTTGCAAAATCGTTATTGGTGTTTTGTTAGGGATTGCATGGAATCTGCAGATCACTTGGATACTACTAACATCATACCAATGCTAAGTCCTTTAATCTGTGAACACATGACGTCTTCCTTTTTTTGTGTGTCTTTAACATCTTTCACCAATATCTTGCTTTTTCAGTGTGTATTCCTCACTTCTGATAGCAATGCAAGAATAAGAAACTTAGTGCAAAATTTAAGAGGGGAGGATTGGTGTATTAGTCTGTTCTCATGCTGCTGTAAGGACATACCTGAGACTAGGTAATTTATAAGGGAAAGAAGTTTAATTGACTCACAGTTCCGCAGGGCGGGGGAGGCCTCAGGAAACTTACAATCATGGTGGAAGGGAAGTAAACGTGCCCTTCTTCACATGGCAGCAGCAAGGAGAAGTGCAGAGTAAAGGGGGGAGGGGAACCCTTTATAAAACATCAGATCTCATGAGAACTCACTATCATGAGAGCAGCATGGTGGTAACTGCTCTCATGATTCAATTACCTCCCACCAAGTCCCTCCCACGAAACATGCTGCTTCTGGATGTGGATTCCAAAGTAGCCGCATTATGTGGCTGAATTTAGCCATTGTTGTACCCAGAGGATTATGGGAACTACAGTTCAAAATGAGATTTAGGTGGGGACACACCCGAACCATATCAATTAGCAATGAAATAACTCATGTGAATTTATATCTGTGGATCTATTGTATTAATCACATACTCTAGAGAAAATTAGCTCTATTATAGTAAGAATCTGATACTATTTCCATGTTCTCAGTTAATATTTGTTTTTCAGGAGAACTTCTTAATTAGTTGCTATTACATTGGCTTTTTATGTGCCAGAGACTTATGTTTTATGCTTATTTGAATTAGTCCTCAGGACTCAGTTTTTATTTTTTCTAATTGAGTCACACTGGTATATTCCAATATTATTGATTATTACATAGTTATTTGATAACTGATACTTCACTTACATACTTCAAGAAGTCCTCAGAAAGTTGTAGTCAACCTTCTGGTCACAGCCACAGTCATCTCCAGGATAAATTGGCAGAAGATCCACTTCCAAGCTCACTCACATGGTGGGTGCCAGGGTGAAGTTGCTCACAAACATTGGCCAGAAAACTCCCTCTATTTCTTGTGATAAGGGTCTCTCCACCTGGAGTTGACAATGTAGCCATTGGCATCCATCAATGCAACCAAGCCAAAGACCAAGATGAGGCAGGTAAAAAGAAAGTTGGAGTCTCTCACCATGTTCCCAGAAGTGACATCGTATCACTTCTCTTCCACCTTCTCTTTGTTAGGAAATGAGTCACTTGGTCTATACTATTCATCAGAGCAGATTACACAAAGGCATGAAAACCAGGAGTTGGGGTGTCCTTGGGAACATCTCAGATGCTGCTCATCCCATAGGTCTCATCCTCAGTCAAGACTTTGGGCTTTTAGGACATCAAGACCCGGCTGAGTTTCCTCTGACTTCCAGCAGAGTCTCTGATTCGCCACACTATCAAATCCCAACAAATATACCTCGGAGACAAACTTGCAAATGGGAGAGCTTCATCTGCACTGGGGACTTCCATAGACCTCATCATGCTGCTTCCAGATGTAGATTCCAAAGTAGCACCATTATGTGGCTGAATTTAGCCATTGTCCCCAGAGGGTTGGATTTCTACTCACTGAAAAGGCTAACATTGCTTCAGAATATATTTTCTTTTGATTTCTTTGAGTTCTCAGTACTTAGTAAAAAGTGTTTTCTGGTTTTTGAGTTCTCAGCACTTAGTAAAAAGTGTTTTTTGGTTTTGAGTGTTTTCTGGTTGCCGTAAGCTGAGATCGCGCCATTGTACTCCAGCCAGGGCAACAAGAGCGAAACTCCGTCTCAAAACAAACAAACAAACAAAACAAAACAACGAAAAGAAATCAGCATGATTTCAAGAGTTCCAATCTAGCCTCAAAAAGAAGAGTATTGAAGGGTATGATTGGAGCAGAAAGAGAATAGCTTAAACACCAGCATAATGAGAAAGTTAGGAAGCTTCTTTCCAAGTCATCTGGAAATGTGCAATAAATTCTTGTGAACTAAAATTTCTGTACTGTACTATCAAACACTAGAACTCGTTTATTCCATCTTTTTGTATTTTTGTACCCAATTATCAACTTCTCCTCATTTCCCAACTAACTCCTTTTCTTCCTAGCCTCTGCTAGCCACCTTTCTACTCTCCACCCCTTAATGAGATTCCTTTTGTGTGTATGTGTGGGATGGAATCTCACTCTGTTGCCCAGGTTGGAGTACAGAGGCATGATCTTGGCTCACTGCAACCTCTGCCTCATAGATTCAAGTGATTCTCCTGCCTCAGCCTCCCAAGTAGCTGGGATTACAGGCATGCACCACCACGCCTGACTAATTTTTGTATTTTTAGTAGAGATGGGGTTTCACCATGCCAGGGCGGTCTCGAACTCCTGGCCTCAAGTGATCCATCCGACTCCGCCACCCAAAGTGCTGGGACTACAGGCATGAGCCACCATGCCTGGCCAAGATTTTCTTTTTTTTTTTCCTACATATAAGTGAGGACATGTAATATTTGTCATTCTGCACCTGGCTTATTTCACTTAATATAATGACCTGCAATCTCATCCATTTTTGCTGCAGTGGAGAGGATTTTATTATTTTTTAGGTTGAATAATACTTCATCTTGTGTGTATACTACACTTTCTTTTTTTTTTTTTTTTTTTTTTGAGGCGGAGTTTCGCTCTCTTGCCCAGGCTGGAGTGCAGTGGCCAGATCTCAGCTCACTGCAAGCTCCGCCTCCCGGGTTCACGCCATTCTCCTGCCTCGAGACTCCCGAGTAGCTGGGACTACAGGCGCCCGCCACCTCGCCCGGCTAGATTTTTGTATTTTTTAGTAGAGACGGGGTTTCACCGGGTTAGCCAGGATGGTCTTGATCTCCTGACCTTGTGATCCGCCCGTCTCGGCCTCCCAAAGTGCTGGGATTACAGGCTTGAGCCACCGCGCCCGGCCTCACTACACTTTCTTAATTGAGACAACTTTTTAAAAAAATAAATATTTTTTTAAAAGTCTTGAAATGTGAAGCTTTAGAGATATGGTGACCATTTCATTCTTTTCTATTTCCCATTTTATGTGTATGCACAAGTGTGAAATAAAACAGCAATCGATGTGTGTATAAATCTGTAACTTCAGCAAATGTAAAATGAAAATGCTAAGTGGTAAGAAAAAACACCATGACAAAAATTTGTACGGCGTTGAAGGACAATGCATTTGAAGATCATACTTGAAGAAATCATATTTCAATTAACTTCTGTTCTTCCTCATCGGAGCTTGATCCCTCTAGGAACTTCATCATTGGAACCATCTCTGATGCCTAAAACAAACAAACAAACAAAAAAAATCCGCATACCCACACAGGTGCAAGTAAATCAGAATCTCAGGTAATGAGACCCAGGCCTCAGCATTTGTAAGCTCCCCAGGTGATTTCAATCAAAGCCAAGACTGAGGACCAGTGACACGGATCTCTACATGTAACCTGCCTGAATCGATTCCCTAAAAGCAGTTTATAAAGAAATTCCACATGAACTGTGGAAACGGGTGAATGTGATGTACAGTATGTCCTCACTTAGCATCTTTGATAGTCTCTTGGAAACTGCATCTTTAAGCAAAATTATGTAGAGTGAAACCAATTTATCCCTCATCAACATTCTAACTAAACAACTTCGAACCAAACAATGGTGTTGGAGGACCTGCTGTATATTGTTTCCATAAAGTCAATTTTCAGAGAATTAGAAAACGAAGTGAGGACTTCCTGTATATAAAAAGATGGTTGTGATTTCACCTGGACAACAGGGTCATTGCTCAGAAACTGAAGGAGTCTGCCTAGCTATAGAAGATTCAGTCACGATGTTTACGCTAAACAAAGGATCCCAGAATACTCACCCATTCCAGTTAAAGGCTTAACAAAGAAAGCAATATTCACATAGGAAATGTGGAAAGGAGTAAAACTCATCAAGCAACAAAAATACTGTGACCAAGGGGGCAGGATTTGCAGATGTAGAGGTTTAATGTGGTTGCCCTTTCTAACCCACATAAGAAAAAGGATGGAACAGACTATGGGATTAGACTGTTCTGCTGTGCAGCCTCCACAGGGCACTTTGAATGTCCCTGTTTCTCAGGCTGTAGATGAAGGGGTTCAGCATGGGGATGACCACAGCATACATCACTGATGCCACCACAGCATTCCTGGGAGATGGTGACACAGCTGACGTCAGGTACACGCCAACGCCCATTCCATAAAATAAGCAAACAACTGTCAGGTGAGAGCCACAGGTGGAGAAGGCTTTATACCTCCCATCTGATGATGGAATTCTTAGAATGGAGGAGAGAATTTTATAGTAAGACAAAAGGATCCCTGAAGTGGGAAGAAAACCAAATATAGTACTATCTAAATATACGAATATGTTATTGATGACGCTGTCAGAGCAGGCAAGGTTGAGAAGTTGAGATGGGTCACAGAAAAAATTAGGGATTTCCACATTCTTGAAGCAGGTGAATTGTAACACAATCAAGTTATGCAGCTGGGAATGCAACAGGCTAAGGAAAAAAGACGCCAAAACTAGGAAGACACAGAGGTGAGGAGTCATGATGACTGGGTAGAGTAGGGGGTGACAGATGGCTACAAACCGGTCATAGGCCATCACAGTGAGGAGCATGTCTTCCATACATGCAAAAAGGACAAAGGAAGACATCTGAGTCAGGCAGCCCGCATAGGAGATGACTGTGCTATGAGATTGGATGTCCACAATCATCTTGGGGACCGTAGTGGAGGTGAAACCGACGTCAGCCAAGGACAGGTTGGAGAGGAAGAAGTACATGGGGGTGTGGAGGTGGGAGTTAGAGCCGATGGCCAGGATGATGAGCAGGTTCCCCAGCACCGTGATCAGGTACATAGACAGGAACAGCGCAGTGAAGATGGGCTGCAGTTCTGGATCCTCTGAGAGTCCCAGGAGGAGGAATTCTGAGACACCTGTGAGATTCTGTGGCTCTGTGTAACTTGGACACCTTGAGAAGAAAAGAGGGTTGGAAAATAAAAGACATAAATTGCACTTAATGCTGTGTGTATATTTTGGATACAAGCAAGTCACGAGGAACATATTCACACTTGGGGACCATATACCCTCAGCAATATTTCTCAGTTGTGACAATCCCAAACATCTCAGAATTGTTACATGACTTGCTTTTGTGCTATTCAACTCTTCCTGTACATACCACTTTAGATAAAATAAATTGAAGAATGTTAGAAGACCAAGGACTTAATATATTCAAAATCCAAGATCGCAGTAAAACATGGCCTACTCTTTTCAGAAACAAAACAAAACGTTCTTGTCTCTTTAAGAAAAAAATAGTGAATTTAATTAAAAGAAATTAAGAAGCAGTGAAATACACTTTATTTTATTCTGACACTGTGCTACAAATTCCTTTGATGTAGAATATTTACAAACATTATACAAGAGCTAGGACTGCATTATCTGAAAGCTAAATCAAACCTGATAGTTCATAATCAGAAGATCTTTCTACATGCCAATGACTTTTCACATTTTTTATCCTTCTTAGGTTTTCTGACATCATTTCTTCACACAAGTAAATGCCCACTCAAATATACGAGCTATGTTTCCAAATTTATTGAATATACAGCTCTCGTCCTTGGCTTATGTTTTCTTTGGGTTTTGATAAGAAAGTTTTGTTGCACATAATTGTAGGCCTTCAGCGACCACACAGATATCAATAATGTGTGATGCATGCGTCATGACTAAATAATAATGAAGTTTAATAACATTTTCTCTTTATTTTCTTTTAGTCTGGAATGACGTGAAACTCAAAATTGTGTCTAAGCAAGTGTCAGGTTTACCTGCCCTCTTCTCTTTGTGCGTTTTTTCTTTCTGATATACCTAAGACAATCTCTGCCATGGTATTTAGGTACTTGAACATTGCAGATGCTACTAAATGGAATTCTAAGGCCCCTGTATCTGTGACATAGACATAAACAGGTGTTATCTTGTATCTCATTTTGTTAGACATTCCTAAAGGGATGAAAGGACAGACAAGAAACCACTAACTGTGTTGAGGTCACACTGATCACAGCCAATTTTTTTTCTGATCCAAGGAAGGGCCTATTCAATATTTAACGGGGAACTTTATTTTTGATGCCTCCTTTGAGACAGGCAAGAGATAGGTTCTGGGGGATCAGAAATGAAAGAGACCCAAACATTCCTCTCACCATACTCGGCACTTACTTAGATAGGGACGAATGTCAAATGTCCTGTCAGGAATGTAGGGGCCTGTAACTTCAGGCCAGAGGACATTGCAGTTCAACTGTATGAAGATTAAGCTTAAAACAATAATAATAATAATATAAAAATTGACTTTGCCTTTATGCATCCATCACATAGAGATCACGCAGGGAGCACTCACGATCTGTTTAATCATCGCTCACTGCAGTTGGATTAACTAGAAATCAGCTCAGATGACAATGCTGAGTCTCAGAGGCACAGACATCTCGCCTCATGTCACACAGTTCAGTGAAGTGGGCAGATTCAAAACCAAGCGGTCAGTCTCTGAGGCCTTGGTAATGAAGTAGGCACTACACTTCTTCATTACTTTCCGGCTCTCAGAAAGTTGTAAGCAGAGGTCAGAGCTCTTAATTACAGGCACATTTGGAGTGCATTCAGAAACAGGTTCCAGCCTCCTGATTAGGAATGGAGCCAAGACCCTAATTTTATGTCTCCTTTGAGGAGATGGAGAGCTGCAAGGAAAGCCAGGAACAGGGGCAAGGGAGAGGTGCGCCCAGAAAGATCCTGTGCCAGTTCTTTCTGGGATCTTTGATGTGATCTTGGCTGCCCTTTCTATACTTGATACTGTGAACGTGGCACCCTCTGGTCTAGCTGTGGTCTACCAGGAACCCCCAAAAGGAGAATGCAGTTATCAGGGGCATCTGCCAGGACAGACAAGGATTCGAGAGGGCGGGTTGGACTCAGGGAGAGGCCTGGCCAAATGCCATGTATCTGGACTTAGATGGCTCCTTTCCTATTCTGTAATTAAGAAAATGTGGCAGGTATAACTCAGGGAAGACTATACAGATGAAAGTAAACCGGCTACATAAAACATGAAGCTGAGAGCCTGGCATTCAGGAAGCCTTCCGTAAAAGTTCTTGAAGTCGTGATGACTGTCATTGTCCTCCTCATCCTCATCACCTTCATAATCTCCTTGGCATGTTTTGGGAACACGCTCTTGTGCGTGAGATGTCTTTGGGAAGTTGGACCAGTGTGGAAGAAAAGTTAAACTTTGAATGAGATTTCTGAGACCAATCACAACCTCGAACATAAACCCCACAGTCGTCTGAGCTGACATCTTGCACATTGGTGTCCTCCCATCTGCCTCCCCACTGTCCTGTTTGTGCTGAGGATGAGGAAACAAGGCTCCCGACCTTCCCTCAGCACTCACTGAGCTGCGCTTCCCCTCTGCTGGGCCATGACCACGGAGAGCAGGTCCGCTGTCTTCCCTGCGTGGTGCACGATGGAGGCTCAGGCTCCGTCCTCAGGACTGGCAGGAAGACAGGGTCAGACATGAGCCTCCTGATGCAGACCACAGGTGTGGAGCCCACTGGCCTGGAAGCTCACACTGCAGGGCTGGAGGCACAGGCTGAGTATTTACTATTCTACGGCCTTGGGGGCTCAATGCACAGAGCTCCTCATTAGCCAAACAGGCCCAAGTTCCCCAGTCTCCAAGGACTTCCTTATTAATGCAAGATAAAGAAGAAAAAATGAACGTCCACAGGAACTTCTGGGCTCTTCCTCTAATCAGGAGAAAGCTTGTGTTCATCATTCACTTATTTCATTTCTTTTTCTTTTTCAAGGATGCAGCTTTTTAAATTTTTCATATTCTTATCATGGCAAAATATACCACATTTAATATAAAAATTATAAATATAGCCTTATACAAAATGGTAAGTAATATTTTACCATTTATCCTCTTCAAAATGGTAACCAACCTGTAATCCCAGCACTTTGGGAGGCCGAGATGGGTGGATCACGAGGTCAGGAGATTGAGACCATCCTGGCTAACACGGTGAAACCCCGTCTCTACTAAAAAATACAAAAAAACTAGCCGGGCGTGGTGGCGGGCACCTGTAGTCCCAGCTACTTGGGAGGCTGAGGCAGGAGAATGGCGTGAACCCAGGAGGCGGAGCTTGCAGTGAGCTGAGATCCGGTCACTGCACTCCAGCCTGGGCGACAGAGCGAGACTCCGTCTCAAAAAAAAAAAAAAAAAAAAGGTAACCAATACCATTTTAACCACTTTTTGGTGTACAGTTTACTGGCATTAAATACATCCACGGGGTTGTGCAGCCACCACCATCATGGATCCGCTCAACAACTTTGTCTTTCAGAACAGAAACTCAGGTCCTTAAACTCCCCATTCCTCCCTCTCACCAATCCCTGGCAACCACCAGTCTACTGTTGCTATGAATTTAACTGCTCGAGATACTTGATATAAGTGGAATCATACTGTGTTTGCCTTTTGTGATTGATTCCTTTCTCTTAGCATAATATCTCTAGATTCATTCATGTGGTAACATGAAAGAAAGGTAGAATTGCCTTTCTTTGTGAAGCTGAAATATGGCTGGGCGCGGTGGTTCACGCCTGTAATCCCAGCACTTTGGGAGGCCGAGGTGGATGGATCATGAGGTCAGGAGGTAGAGACCATCCTGGCCAACATGGTGAAACCCCATGCCTACTAAAAATACAAAAATTAGCCAGGTGTGGTGGCGGGTGCCTGTAAACCCAGCTACTCAGGAGGCTGAGGCAGGAGAATTGCTTGAACCCAGGAGACGGAGGTTGCAGTGAGCCGAGATCACGCCACTGCACTCCAGTCTGGTGACAGAGCAAGACTCCGTCTTTAAAAGCAAACAAACAAAAAAAGCTGAATGATATTCCATTGTATAGATGTATGGAGGGACCACGTTGTGTTTATCCACTCATCTAACAAGGGACTCCTGAGTTGCTTCCACATTTTCATCTATTGTTAATAACACTGCTATAAATATGGTGTACAAATATCTACTTGAGTCTCTTCTTTGATTCTTTTGAGTAATTACCCCAAAGTGAAATTGCAGAATCATCTGGTAATGCTATTTTCAGTTTCTGAGGAAGCACCATACTGTTTTTCTTATTTCTGCCCCATTGTACATTCCCACCTGCCATGTACAAACCTTCCTACTTCTCCACATTGTCACGAACGCTTGTTATTTTCTGTTTGTTTATAATAGCCATCCTAATGAGTGGTATCTCACGCTGGTTTTGATTTGCACTTTGCTGAGGATTAGTGATATTGAGCATCATTTTGTATGCTTATTGTCTATTTGTATATCTTCTTTAGAGAAATGTCTACTCTAGTTCTCTTGATGGAGCAGTTAACTTCCACTAATATCAACAACAGATAGCTCCACACTTTATTATGCAAAATGAATAATATTTTTGGGGGGAGTATGGGCCCAAGAGACTGAAGGCACAAACTGTTTCAGTATAATAAAGAAAATAGACTAAGAATAGTCATAATATAAATTAGGTATAGAGATGATCATGACCAACTGTCAATCAGTATTATAAACAGTATTAATCATTAGCTTTTAATATTACTCTTTGTTGCATTACTAATATAACCTAGGAATAACCGGCAGGTGTAGGGTCAGGTGCTGAAGAAACATTGTAAGAAGTGACCTAGAAGGCAAGAGGTGAGCCCTCTGTCACGCCTGCATAAGGGCCGCTTGAGGGCTCCTTGGTCAAGCGGTAATGCCAGTGTCTGGGAAGACACCCGTTACTTAGCAGACTGTGAAAGGGAGTCTCCTTTCTTTGGAGGAGTCAGGGAACACTCTGTTCCACCAGCTTCTTGTGGAAGGCTGGATATTATCCAGGCCTGCCCGCAGTCATCCAGAGGCCTAAACCCCCCACTGTGGTTCTGTGATTCAGTGGTCACGCTCCTCATCCACTTTCATGCTCCTCCTGTACTCCTGGTTCCTCTTTGAAGATCATAGTAGATAGCGGTAGAAGAAACAGTGAAAGTCTTAAAGTCTTTGATCTTTCTTATAAGTGCAGAGAAGAAAACGTTGACGTATGCTACCTTCTCTCTCTGCTTCTGCTACCTAAGAGGGAAGGGCCCTATCCCGTAATCACATGACTTGCTTCACCTTGTCAGTCACTTAGAAGATTCACCCTCCTTGCCCTGCCCCCTTGTCTTGTATGCAATAAATATCAGCAAGCCCAGCTGTTTGGGGCCACTACCGGTCTCTGCATCTTGATGGTAGTGGTCCTCCAGTCCCAGCTGTCTTTTCTTCTATCTCTTTGTCTTGTGTCTTTATTTATTACAATCTCTCATCTCCACGCACGGGGAGTGATGTTCCCCGCCCTGTGTCTATGTGTTCTCATTGTTCAACTCCCACTTATGAGTGAGAACATGCGGTGTTTGGTTTTCTGTTTCTGTGTTAGTTTGCTGACAATAATGGTTTCCAGCTTCATCCATATCCTTGCAAAGGACATGAACTCATCCTTTTTTATGGTTGCATAGTATTCTATGGCATATATGTGCCACATTTTCTTTATCCAGTCTGTCATTGATGGGCATTTGGGTGGGTTCCAAGTCTTTGCTATTGTGAACAGTAATAAACTGCTGCAATAAATATATGTGTGCATGTATTTTTATAGTAGAATGATTTATAATCCTTTGGGTATATACCCAGTAATGGGATTGCTGGGTCAAATGGTATTTCTAGTTCTAAATCCTTGAGGAATCTCCACACTGTCTTCCATAATGGTTAAACTAATTTACACTTTCACCAACAGTGTAAAAGCATTCCTATTTCTCCACATCCTCTCCAGCATCTGTTGTTTCCTGACTTTTTAATGATCGCCACTGTAACTGGTGTGAGATGGTATGTCATTATGGTTTTGATTTGCATTTCTGTAATGACCAGTGATGATGAGCTTTTTTTCATATGTTTGTTGGCTGCATCAACATACATGTCTGTTCATATCCTTCCTCCACTTTTTGATGGGGTTTTTTTCTTATAAATTTGTTTAAGTTCTTCGTAGATTCTGGATATTAACCCTTTGTCAGATGGATAAATTGCAAAAATTTTCTCCCATTCTGTAGGTTGCCTGTTCACTGTGATGATAGTTTCTTTTGCTGTGCAGAAGCTCTTTAGTTTAATTAGATCCCATTTGTCTATTTTGGCTTTTGTTGCCACTCTTTTTTGGTGTTTTAATCATGAAGTCTTTGCCCATGCCTATGAACTGAATGGCATTGCCTAGTTTGTCTTCTAAAGCATTTATGGCTTTAGGTCTTACGTTTAAGTCTTTAATCCATCTTGAGTTAATTTTGTAGAAGGTGTAAGGAAGAGATCCAGCTTCAGTTTTCTGCATATGGCTAGCCAGTTTTCCCAGCACCATTTATTAAATAGGGAATCCTTTCCCCATTGCTTGTTTTTGTCAGGTTTGTTGAAGATCAGATGATTGTAGATGTGTGGCATTATTTCTGAGGCCTCTGTTCTGTTTCCTTGGTCTATATATCTGGTTTTGTGCCAGTACTATGCTGTTTTGGTTACTGCAGCCTTGTAGTATAGTTTGAAGTCAGGTAGTGTGATGCCTCCAGGTTGTTCTTTTTGCTTAGGATTATCTTGGCTATATGGGCTGTTTTTTGGTTACATGAAATTTAAAGTAGTTTTTTCTAATTCTGTGAAGAAAGTCAATGGTAGCTTGATGGGGATAGCATTAAAGACTTAAACATAAGACCTAAAACCATAAAAACTCTGGAAGAACACCTAGGCAATACTATTCAGGACATAGGCATGGGCAAAGACTTCATGACTAAAACACCAAAAGCAATGGCAACAAAAGCCAAGATTGACAAAAGGAATCTAATTAAACTAAAGAGCTTCTGCACAGCAAAAGAAACTATCATCACAGTGAACAGGCAACCTACAGAATGGGAGAAAATTTTTGCAATTTATCCATCTGACAAAGGGTTAATATCCAGAATCTACAAAGAACTTAAACAAATTTACAAGAAAAAACCCCATCAAAAAGTGGAGGAAGGATATGAACAGACATGTATGTTGATGCAGCCAACAAACATATGAAAAAAAGCTCATCATCACTGGTCATTACAGAAATGTAAATCAAAACCACAATGAGATACCATCTCACACCAGTTACAGTGGCGATCATTAAAAAGTCAGGAAACAACAGATGCTGGAGAGGATGTGGAGAAATAGGAATGCTTTTACACTGTTGGTGAAAGTGTAAATTAGTTTAACCATTATGGAAGACAGTGTGGAGATTCCTCAAGGATTTAGAACTAGAAATACCATTTGACCCAGCAATCCCATTACTGGGCATATACCCAAAGGATTATAAATCGTTCTACAATAAAAACACATGCACACGTATGTTTATTGTGGTACTGTTCACAATAACAAAGACTTGGAACCAACCCAAATGCCCATCAATGATAGACTGGATAAAGAAAATGTGGCACATATATACCATGGAATACTATGCAGCCATAAAAAAGGATGAGTTCATGTCCTTTGCAGGGATATGGATGAAGTTGGAAATCATCATTGTCAGCAAACTAACACAGGAACAGAAAACCAAACACATGTTCTCACTCATAAGTGGGATAAGTTCACTCACTGAACAATGAGAACACATAGATACAGGGAGGCAAACATCACACACCAAGCCTGTTGTGGGGTAGGGGGCTAGGGGAGGGATAGCATTAGGAGAAATACCTAATGTAGATGATGGATTGATGGGTGCAGCACACCACCATGGCACATGTATACTTATGTAACAAACCTGCATGTTCTGCACATGTATCCCAGAACTTAAAGTATAATTTCAAAAAAAGAAAATGGTGAGATTAGAACAGAAAGACAATAGCTTAAACAACAGCATAAAACAATGCAAATCTTTTCTCTTAGCTATTTTGAAATATGCAATAAATTATTGTTAACTATAATTTTCCTACTGAATTACCAAGGACTAGAACTTATTTTTCCTATCTACCTATATTTTGTACTCCTTAAACAACTTCTCTTCATTCCACTCCCCCTTGACTTCCCAGCCTTGGCAATCACCATTCACCCCTCTGCCTACATGGGATTTACATTTTGGTTCCTATATATGAGCGAGAACAAGCAGTATTTGTCTTTCTGTGCCTGGTTTCTTTCACTTAACATGATGTCCTCCAGTCCCACCCATGTTTCTGCAAATGACAGGATTTCATTGTTTATAATGGCACAATAATATTCCATTTTCTATGTACCACATTATCATTATTTTAAAAATTTAAAAGTAAATTTCAAATGAAAAAGAATTAGTCTCTGAATGTGAAGTTTCAGGGATACCGTTACTATGTTTGTATGTATGCACAAGAGTCAAATATCATTAAAATCTCTAAGTGTATAAATCTACACTTTCAGCAAATGTAACATGAGAATTCTAAGTAGTAAGAAAAAAATGAGATAATTTGTATGGTGTTGAAGAACAATGCATTTGAAGAAGATATTGGAAGAATACCACTAGACCTGGTGCTACTAGAAGCTCTTATATTAACTACCAATTAGAGTGTGATCCCATTAGACCCTCCACCAACCGAATCACCTTTGGTGCTTTAAAAAATTCTCATACCCAGAGAAGTCCAAGGAAATCAGAATTTCTGGTAACGTGACCTAGTCAGCCTTTGTAAGCTCCCCAGGTCATTTCAATGAAAGTCAAGTTTGAGAACCACTGATAGGGATCCTCACACAACCTGCCTAAAGAGATTCCATAGATGCTATTCATAAATTACAGATGAATTGTGGAAGGAGATGGAAATTTGAAATATAGTAAGTCTTCCCTTAACCACTTGACAGGTTCTTGGAAACTGTGATTTTAAGAAAAATTATGGATAACAAACCAATCTTTTTCTTCACCAATATTATAACTAAATAATATTGAACGAAACGACACTAATCAAGGACCTGCTGCACATTGTATCCTTCATGTCACAGTTTCCAAGAACCTCTCCACAATGTGAAGTGAGGACTTCCTCTGTATAAAAAGAGAGTTGTGATTTTACCTGGATACGAGCGTCATTCCTCAGAAACTAAAGGAGGCTGTCCAGGTGTATTGGATTCAGTCGTGATGTTTGTGATGAACAAAGGATACCAGAATATTCACTTATTCCAATTAAAGATATAACAAAGAAAGCACTATTCGCACAGGAAATGTGGGCAGGGGCCATGACTTGCAGGTTCAGATAATTAATGTTGCTGCCTTTTCTAACTCACACAAGAAAAACAATAGGATGGATAATGAGACTAGACTGTCCTGTTTTGCAGCTTCCACAGGGCCTTTTTAATGTCCCTGTTTCTCAGGCTGTAGATGAAGGGGTTCAGCATGGGGCTGACTACAGTGTACATCACTGAGGCCACCGCAGCCTTCCTGGGAGAAGGTGACACAGCTGAACTGAGGTACACGCCAAGGCCTGTTCCATAAAATAAGCAAACAACTGTCAGGTGAGAGCCACAGGTGGAGAAGACTTTATATCTCCCACCTAATGATGAAACTCTCAAAATGGAGGAAATAATTTTATAGTAGGAGAAGAGGACCCCAGAAATAGGAAGAAACCCAAATATGGAAGCACCGAAATACACGACTATGTTGTTGAGGAAGGTGTCAGAACAGGCAAGGCTGAGGAGTTGAGAAGGGTCACAGAAGAAAGACGAGATGTCCGCATCCTTGAAGCAGGTGAATTGTAACACAGTGAAATTGTGCAGCTGGGATTCCACCAGGCTAAGAAGAAAAGACACCAAAACTAAGAAGCCACAGAGGCGTGGGCTCATGATGACTGGGTAGTGCAGGGGGTGACAGATGGCCACAAACCGGTCATAGGCCATCAGAGCCAGAAGCATGTCTTCCATACATCCAAAAAGGGTAAAAAGAGACACCTGAGTCAGGCAGCCCACATAGGAGATGACGCTGCTGTGAGACTGGATGTCCACAATCACCTTGGGGACGGTGGTGGAGGTAAAACCGATGTCAGCCAAGGACAGGTTGGAGAGGAAGAAGTACATGGGGGTGTGGAGGTGGGAGTCAGAGCCAACGGCCAGGATGATGAGCAGGTTCCCCAGCACCGTGACCAGGTACATGGACAGGAGCAGCCCAGCGAGGACGGGCTGCAGTTCAGGATCCTCTGAGAGTTCCAGGAGGAGGAATTCTGAGACACCTGTTAGATTTTGTGGTTCTGTGTAGCTTGGAAACCTTTTAATAAGAAAAGGGAGGTGGAAAATGTGAAACAAGTAAACCAGCACGCAGCACTGTGTCTATACTTTAGATGTAAGCAATTCACAAGTACAGTTTTCACATTTGAAGATCATACACCCTCAGCCATGACAAACCCAATTTTCTAAGAACTCTTTCCTGGTTGATTTTTGTGCTATTCAATACTTTGTGTATGTACGTACTTTTGAGACAATGGGTGAAGAACATTAGAAGAATAAATATAAGAATGTAGTATGTTTTCAAAAATTCATGAATACAGTAAAATATAGACTATCCTTTAAAAACATCTAAATAAAAAATATTCTCCTCCCTTGGAGAAAAGAATCTTAAGCTAATTAAAGGAAGTTAAGGAACCATGAAATATACTTTATTTTATTCCAATACAGTGCTACACATTCTACCAATTTAGAATATTTATAAACAGTCTATAAAGAGTTAGGGCCACATTATCTAGAAACTAAATCAAACTTGATAGTTCATAATTATAAAATCTTTTCTGTGTCTGTTTTCTTTCAGAGTTTTTATTATTCAAACAATTTTTTGACATTCTTTCTTCAAGGAAGTAAGCGTTCAATCAACCCACAGCCAATATCATACTGAATGGGCAAAAGCTGGAAGCATTTCCTTTGAAAACTGGCACAAGACAAGGATGCCCTCTCTCACCACTCTTATTCAACATGGTATTGGAAATTCTGGCCAGGGCAATTAGGCAAGAGAAAGAAATAAAGGGTATTCAAATAGGAAAAGAGAAAGTCAAATTGTCTCTGTTTGCAGATGACATGATTATATATTTAGAAAACCCCATCATCTCAGCCCAAAATCCCCTTAAACTGATAAGCAACTTCAGCAAAGTCTCAAGATCCAAAATCAATGTGCAAAAATCGCACACGTTCCTATACACCAGTAAGAGACAATCAGAGAGCCAAATCACGGGTGAACTCCCGTTCACAATTGCCACTAAAAGAATAAAATACCTAGGAATACAGCTGACAAGGGACGTGAAGGACCTCTTCAAGGAGAACTTCAAACCACTGCTCAAGGAAATAAGAGAGGACATAAACAAATGGAAAAACATTCCATGCGCATGGATAGGAAGAATCAATATTGTCAAATATATAGGCTTGCATTTATTTATTTATTATTGAGATGGAGTTTTGCTCTTGTTGCCCAGGCTGGAGTGCAACGGCACGATCTCAGCTCACTGCAACCTCCGCCTCCTAGGTTCAAGCGATTCTCCTGCCTCAGCCTCTGGAGTAGCTGGGATTACAGGCATGTGCCACCACACTCGGCTAATTGTTATGTATTTTTAGCAGAGACTGGGTTTCTCCATGTTGGTCAGGCTGGTCACGAACTCCTAACCTCAGGTGATCCACCCGCCTCAGCCTCCCAAAGTGCTGGGATTACAGGCGTGAACCACCGTACCTGGCCTAGGCTTTCTTTTAAAATTCATTTAATATAAAACTCCTGTCTTTGGCTTATGCGGACATTGCGTTTTGGTAAGAAAGGTTTAGCTAAATGCACCTAATCATAGGCCTACAGCGGCCACACAGATGGTAACACTGCCATGCACTTGTCCGTGATTAAACGATAATGGAATGTTAATAAGCCTTTTGCATGATCTTCTCTGAGCCTGAAAGAATGTGCAACTAAAATGTATCTAAGTCCAGGCAAAAATGTTCATCTGTCTTCTTCTCTTTCTGCCTTTATCCTTTTGTTGTACCTAAAAAAATCTCTGACATGGCCTTTAAAAAATGGAATGTTGTAGATGTTATTAAATGGAATTATAAGGATCAAACAAGGGCTATTTTACCTTGTCTCGCGTTCTATGGCACGTTCCTGAAAGAGATGAAAGAACAGACAGGAAAACATCATGTGTGTTGAAGCCACACTGATTATGGTCAATTTTTGTGAATCAAGGAAGGCTCTGTTCAATATTTTTCTGCAATTTTTACTTTAGATGCCTCCGCTGTGCCAAGCGAGATATAGGCTCTGGCGAATCAGAAATGAAAGGGGCTGACAGTCCTTCCTCTCACAGCACTCAGTATTTACTCATATGAGGGCAAATATTGTCCTGTCAGGATATAGGAAAACTTAACTCAGGTCACAGACTATTTTAATTGAATGGTGTAGAGATTAACCTTACAATGCTAATGACCATATCTAAAAGCCTCTGACTTTATGCATCCATCACATAGCGATCACGCAGGAGCACCCATGATCTGTTTAATTATTGCTCACTGACATTGGATCAACCAGAAAGCAGCTCAGATGACAGCGCTGAGTCTCAGAGACACGAACGTCTCGCCCCTCGTCACACAGATCAGTAGAACAGGCAGAATTTAGAATTGAACGGTTGGTCTCTGAGTCCCAGGCATTAAAATTCCACATTGTCTTCCAGCTCTCAGGAAGTTTTAAGCAGAGGTCAGAGGTCTTAACCATAGGTATACCTGAGGTGCATTTTGAAACTGTTTCCAGCTCCCTGAATAGGAGTGGAGTCTAAGACCCTGATTTGATGTCTCCTGTAAGGAAGTAGAGAGCTGAAAGGAAAGCCAGGAACAGGGGCAAGGGAGGGATACGCCCTGAGTTTTGTGTTGTGACTATTTCTGCGATCTTTCATGTGACCCCAGCTGCACTTCCTTTTTCTTTTCTTTTTTTCTTTTTTTTTTTTTTTTTTTTTAAGAGATGGGCTTTTGCTCTGTCACCCAGGCTGGAGTTCCGTGGTGCAGTCCTTCGGCTGCAATGAACATGGCATTCACTGGTCTGACCGAGGTCTGCTAGAAACTCCTGAAGTGGAGAGTACAATTAGCAAAAGGCAGCTGCAAGAAATGACAGGGATTTGAGAGGACAGTTTGGGTGCACCAGAGAGGAATACCCAAATTCCATGTGCCTGGACTTTAGACCGCCTGGTTCAAGCTTGGCTTCACTCCTTTCTACTTCATGATATGGTACAAGTTATATAAAAATGCATTGCTCTTTTCCTCTTTTGTAAAATAATAATAACGTGTGCACTTATAACATAGAGAAGACCATGCAGATGAAATGAAATAAGCTACATAGAACACAGAGCTCAAAACTTGGCATTTAGGAAGCCCTGTGTAAGAGTTCATGATGTCATGGTGACTGCCATCTTCCTCCTCATCCTCGTCATCACCTTCATAATTCTTTCAGAGTGCTTAGGGAACAGTTTCCGGAGACCCATTTTCTCCTGCCTTCGGTGAGATGTTTATAGCTAGTAGAATCAGTTTACAGAGACAGCAAAACTTCGAATGACATTTCTGACACCAATTACAACCCAGAACATAAACTCCACAGTCGTCTGAGCTGATTATTTTGCACATTGGTGTCCTCCCATCTGCCACCCCACTGTCCCGTTTATCCTGAGGATGAGGAAACAAGGCTCCCGATGGTCCCTCAGCACTCACTGAGTCACGCTTTGCCTCTGCTGGGCCATGACCACGGAGAGCAGGTCCGCTGTCTTCCCTGCGTGGTGCACGATGGAGGCTCAGGCTCCGTCCTCAGGACTGGCAGGAAGACAGGGTCAGACATGAGCCTCCTGATGCAGACGACAGGTGTGGAGCCCACTGGCCTGGAAGCTCACACTGCAGGGCTGGAGGCACAGGCTGAGTATTTACTATGCTATGGCCGTGGGGGCTCAAGGCACAGAGCTCCTCATTAGCCAAATTGGCCCAAGTTCCCCAGTCTCTAAGGTCTTCCTCACAGTCATGGATGAAGAAGAGAAAATGGATGTCCACAGAAGCATTTGGGCTCTTCCTCTACTCAGAAGAAATCTCTGTGTGTATAGTTCATTTCACTTCTTTTTCTTCCCAAGGATCCATCTTTTTAAATTTCTGTATTTTTATTGTGGTAAAATACACTGCACTTAAATACGAAAGTTATAAATATAAGGGGTTTTATATAAAATGGGAAATATGAAAATCTTTTCATTGTAACCACTTTTAAATGTAGTTCATTGGCCTTATGCACATTCATATTGTTGTTCAACCTCCACCATCATCCCTCTTCTGAACTTTTTTGCCTTTCAGAAGAGATGCTCAGTGCCCACAAACCACCCATTTCTTCATTTCACCAACCCCTAGCAACCACCATTCTACTTTCTGTCTCTATGAATTTAAGTACGCAAGATGCTTGTAACGAATGGAATCATACTGTGTTTGTCTTTTGTGACTGGTTTGTTTCACTGAACATAATGTTTCTAGGTTCATCCACGTAGTAGCACATGTTAGGATTGTCTTCCTTTTTAAGGCTTAATAAAAGTTCATTTTGGCCAGGCGCAGTGGCTCACGCCCGTAATCCCAGCACTTTGGGAGGCCGAGGCAGGCGGATCACGAGGTCAGGAGATCGAGACCATCCTGGCTAACAGAGTGAAACCCCATCTCTACTAAAAATACACAAAATTAGCCGGGTGTAGTGGCGGATGCCTATAGTCGCAGCTACTCAGGAGGCTGAGGCGGGAGAATGGCATGAACCCGGGAGGCCTAGTTTGCAGTGAGCCAAGATTGCGCCACTACACTCCAGCCTGGGCCACAGAGCGAGACTCCTTTAAAAAAAAAAAAAAAAAGAGTTCATTTTATAGATGGACCACATTGTGTTTTATCCATTCATCTGTCCATGAACATTTGAGTTGCTTCCACATTTTTGCCTATTATTTATAACACTGCAACATATACAACATACTAATATCTATTCAAATCTCTTCTTTGATTCTTTTTGTTATATACAGGGTGTAACCGCAGGTGCATCTGGAATTCTATTTTTAATTTTGTGTGGAACCACCATACTTTTTTTTTCATATTTCTGCAACATTTTACCTTTCCACCAGCCAGGTACAAGCCTTCTGACTACTCTCCATTTTCCAATGCATCTCCTTTTCCGTTAGTTTGTTTGTAATATTTATCCTCATATGTGCTATCTTATTGTGGTTTTGATTTGCACATCATTTTGTATGCTTATTGGAAATTCGTATATCTTCTTTTTT